ATTGAGGGAGGGCAAGAGCCCTGTCTCTCTTACTCCATTGTTTCCGTCAGGAAAGACTGATACAAACAATTGCAAAGCATCTAGCGTGGCGCCTGACACATTTTGGGCACTCAAAAAACATTTATGGGAGGAAGGAAAGTGTTGAATTCACACCTTGGTTACTATGACTCCTTGGCAAGTTTAATACTGACTGCTTTATCTGTGTAAACAAGGGGAAATGTCATTCTCCTTAAAGCCATTCACTGTCTCATGAGCTCACTCTTTTCCTTCCTCCTCATGTGTCTTTGTTCCTTGAGGCCTGCCTTCTCTATAAATCTGTCTTGTCTATAAGAACTCCCTTCTTCAGGGAGGCTGTCTTCAAACTCTTTCTTAGAATCCAACAGCATAGGGATGCCTGGGTGGCTCAGTGGTTGAGCATCTGCCTTTGGCTCAGGTCATGATCCCAGCGTCCCAGGATTGAGTCCCACTTCAGGCTCCCCTCAGGGAGCCTGCTTCTCCCTCTGCCTTTGTCTCTGCCTCTCTCTCTCTGTCTCTCATGAATAAATAAGTAAAATCTTAAAAAAAAAAAATCCAACAGCACTTATAAACTCTGCCATACTACCTAGCATTTAATCCACAATGGGTTAAAGGGAATCCACCCCTTTACCGGCACCCATCGCTGTCCTGGGCATATAACTCATTAAATACTTTAGTTGCAACTGGAACAATCTTGTTTGCCAAGGCTCTTCATTGAAGTCTGAAGTATAACCTCAAGATTTGTTATGAAAACCCTTGGGTATAAGGAACAACAAACTGGGAAAAACTGGAAAATGACCCTGAAAGCTATTAAATATCAGAATGATTTTTCAAGTGAGTTTGTATAATCATATTTAAATTAATTTAAATATCTCTGTTAGATGAACACGTAACTAGGTATTACCCTGCCTGAGGCAGAAGTCAACAGACTTTAGTGTTTTCTGTTTCTATGGGCCCATGTATATATATTTTACCAACTCAGACCTTTGGAACTTCAGAGAAAAGGGAAAGCAATTGTTTTTTTCCCTGTATTTAGTTTGAAAATGATATCTGAATAGCTCTCACCCTGTTCTGCATCCATTTTAATGGAGAAATGGCTAAATCTAGGGCTAAAGCAGAGACTAATAAAAGATGAGCCTGGAGTATCTTATAATATCAGAAAGTAAAGCACTCAAGAAACAAAACAATGGGGGTATACCAAAGGGACAGAGGAGCCAACTGAAAGAGCTCCCCATGGCCAAAGCTGGAACATTTGAGCAATGAAATAATGTAGTACTGGATTATAGCCCAAATAATAAATTACAAAAAAAAAATTTAAAGACCCATGGGGGGATCCCTGGGTGGCCCAGCGGTTTAGTTCCTGCGTTTGGCACAGGGCATGATCCTGGGGTCCTGGGATTAAGTCCCACATCAGGCTTCCGGCATGGAGCCTGCTTCTCTCTCTGCCTATGTCTCCGCCTCTCTCTCTCTCTCTCTCTCTCTCTCTCTCTCTCTCTCTCTCTCTGTGTGTGTGTCTCATGAATAAATAAAATCTTTAAAAAAAAAAAAGACCCATGAGTTCATTCAGATATAATTAGGTGCTGAATAAATGGGGAGGGAGGCAAATTTCCCATAGAGAATTCCAAATAATACTCTGCTCTTCCCCTTAAGTGTGGACTACACTTAATGATTTACTTCTCTTGTAAAGAGAGAGGAAAGTAACTTTACAGTGGAGAAAGCTGGCAAAGACTGCCTTAGCCAAGTAATCAAGATTAACATTATCAGTGGCAAGTCCCCGTGACAGTATGTACTCTTGATATATGTGATGAGAGAATGACGCTTCACCTCTTCCTCCCAAAAACCATAACACTCTAACTATGAGAGAAACAGATCCCAACTGAGGCACATTCTACAAAATATCTGACCCATCCTCAAAACTATCAAGTCATCAAAAAGAATGTGGGCAGCCCGGGTTGCTCAGCAGCTTAGTGCCCCATCTTCAGCCCAGGGCCTGATCCTGGAGACCAGGGATTGAGTCCCAGGTTGGGCTCCCTGCATGGAACCTGCTTCTCCCTCTGCCTGTGTCTCTGCCTGTGTGTGTGTGTGTGTGTGTGTGTGTGTCTCATGAATAAATAAACAAAATCTTAAAAAAACAAAAAGAATGTCCAAGAAACTGTTCACAGCCTATAGGAGTCTAAGGAACCATGACAACTTAATGTAATAGGGTATCCTGGAGGAGATCTTGGGACAAAAAAAGGACATTAAGCAAAACTAGTGAAATCCAAATTAATTATGGAGTTCAACTAATATCAATACTATTTCACCATTATGACAAATGTAGCACATTACCAGGGGTTACTAGACATTACCTGGATGTGGGGTATATGGAAACCTGTATACTACCTTTTACCTTTTATGTAAATCTAAAACTCTTTTAAAATAAGAAGTGTACTTGAATAGTTCTAAAATACAATCTGGACACCAGGTGACTAATGCTTATCTCCACAACTATGCTTTTAATTTCAGGGTGCTGGTGACAGTTTCGTGGGGGCTTTGGCCTTCTACCTGGCTTACTACCCACATCTGTCCTTGGAAGAAATGCTCAAGAGATCCAATTTCATCGCTGCAGTCAGCGTCCAGGCTGCAGGAACACAGTCATCTTATCCATACAAAAAAGACCTGCCACTTGATCTGTTTTGATTACTACTAACCCTAAAATAAACGTACCTGGAAATAAAATGTACTTGGGGGAGGGAGGTGGCTCCTCTTAGCCAGCAGCTTACTATAAAATACCCTCTTCTCCTTTATTTGCAAATATGTTCATTTATGAAGTCATCCTCCAGCTTTCATTTATTCTTTTATAATGATGATTTCTTTGCTCTTTATGTATTTGCAAGAGCCAACCAAAATTAAGATCCCATGCCCGGGAACTATACAAACATTAGCACCAGCAGGAACCAGCAAACTCACTAGCCAACAGATTATGAACACTGTGTGTCCACCATAGATCAAGGGTTGTGGATAACAATATCTAGAGTCGGGAGCAGAGAATGTTAAATAAAGGGGGCACATGGACTGTTCAAGCAGTCCCTAAGAGGGACAGCTGATATTCAGCCTTAGTGTTGCCAAAGCTTGTTTTGCCAGGGAAGCCAGAAGCTTGGATGTTCATTGAAATTTTATCAATGTTTAAGTATCAGCAATTGATTTTTTTAAAAACATAAACACCACCTGTGGGCCACATTAAGCTCATGTGCTGAAGGGACGAATCATTTGTTAAGCCAGATTTTAAGCTGTTGTTTTGCTTTGTTTTTAATGGTGATTCCTGTGTGTCACAGACCCTTTGTGTCAGGCTTACCCAGGATCTGGTGAACAATTTTTCTTGTAACCCAGTATCATATATATAGTTTCAACCAAAAAAAAAGCGAAGATCTCACCTATTATTACTTTGAGCAGAGTTTTAACAATAGATGCCAGAAAATAGCTAATGGACTATAATACCACAAGCCCCCTGAAAGTCAACAACTGTCTACATCTAATTCCAACTTCAGAAAGCCAAAGCCACTCTTACATATCCTCCATAGACAGCGTGGGCCACAGGGAGGGAACACTGGTTTCCTCATGCTTGGGGTCATGGTGAGCACGCCATCAGTCTTCTACATAAATGCTTTAAGTGGTGTAGGATATGAACCAGCACAACTCAAAACAGAAGCTGATCCTTCTTATATTCAATCAGAAATGTGATCAGAAGAAAATTGGGACGCCTGGGTGGCTCAGCAGTAAGCGCCTGCCTTCAGCTCAGGGTGTGATCCTGGAGTCCCGGATTGAGTCCCACATCAGGCTCCCTGTATGGAGCCTGCTTCTCCCTCTGCCTAGGTCTCTGCCTGTCTCTCATGAATAAAAAAAAATCTTTAAAAGAAGAAAACTGAATAATTCTGAAAATCTGTAGTAAACAATAGTTTGAGTGAGAAAGTATATGGATCTGGGTAGGGCAGTCTTACTTTACGTGAACATTAGGGATTATCAGTGGAATTTCCATGTTGGTTAGCTGTGTGGTACCATGCTGCAGAAGTCCTAGCTGTGTCTCTATGGAAATACTATAGTTCTTCTTAAAAAAAAAAAAAAAAAAAAAAAGGAAATTAGAAGATAAAGGGAGTCCAAAGCATTCCTAGAAACTCCTAGATACTGCTTTAGTGACCTGAGTTTGAGAATTGGACCAATGGCATTCTTCCTAATTATATAAGCACACAAAAGTTCTCATGGTTTCTTTTGTGTTACAAGGCTGGCCCACTTCTTATTCCTGTTCAGCATTACCCTGTTATATCACACAAGAGTTTTTTCAAGATCACTCTGGAGAGTGACTCTGCCTTTCCTATGAAGTACAAAGAGGAGCAGACTGGAAAGTCTTGCACAAGTTTCATTATGGAAACTTTCTTTTATATGAAACAATGGTTATTCTTTAGTAATATAGTTGTTTTTTATTTCAAAGAGTGGGGGAAAACATCACTAAGAGACAATAGCACAGGCTATTTTAATATTTTTTATTAAGGGCTATAAAAATATCCAGAAAGATAAATAAATGTGATGCAATGATATATGTCCTAATATGAATTACTTTCTTTCAGTACATTGTTTTTCTTCACAATTGCCTTCAAATCACAGGAGGCAGTGATTCCATGCTATTTCCTCTTCTTTTATTACACACTGCAGAATTTCTGAATCAGTATCCCGCCCTTAGTCTTCTCATTTATAAATCAAATTCATTTTCAATCCATTGTTTAGAGGGAGCGTATTTTCTTCTGTTCCACAAAGAGGACTTTTGTTTTCACTGTAAGAGAAAAATGAGTTGTAGCAGAAAACTAAAAGCGTCACCAGAAAATTTCTAAATAAAAATACCTATCAGACTACAAGTACTCTCCTTTTTCTTATTTTACTATTCCTCTGACACGGGGATGGAGCAGATTTGCAAACTCAGTTCCTCAATCCCAGAGGCCAGAGAAACCTAGAGAAAATGGGAAGGAAGCCAAGGGAAGGCTCACCAGCCAATCAGTGGCACATCTGGTACCCCACAGTCATTTCTCACCCAATGTGAAATATCCAAATTAAAAAAAGCAAGGAACAAAGCATGGAAAGCACTCAAAGTCTTCACCCAGTTAATGAACACTTTTGCAGAAGATTAGCAAGACCAGACAAGAGCTGGACTCCAAAGAAAAAAAGCAACAAGAACTGAGCAGACCAAGGAAGAAAAGGCAGTCTGGCTAGAAGAGTAAATACACATCAAACCTTATACTTTCCAGAGATGCCTTAATATACCCAAATATGGATTCTGTAGTATGGTAATAGAATGAAAACTATAACCAAAATCTCATTATTGAAAATACCATAACAGAGTACAGCTCTCTGAAACAAAACCAAAACAAAAGTACTAATTGCCTGGGGTGCCTGGATGGTTCAGTCAGTTGAGTGTTCAACTCTTGGTTTCAGCTCAGGTCATGATCACAGGGTCAGAAATCAAGCCCCGTGGGATCCCTGGGTGGCTCAGCGGTTTGGCGCCTGCCTTTGGCCCAGGGGGCGATTCTGGAGTCCCGGGATCAAGTCCCGCGTCGGGCTCCTGGCATGGAGCCTGCTTCTCCCTCTGCCTGTATCTCTGCCTCTCTCTCTATGTCTATGTCTATCATGAATAAATAAATAAAATCTTTAAAAAAAAAAAAAAGAAATCAAGCCCCGCTTTGGGCTCCATGCTCAGCACAGTCTGCTCAAGATTCTCTCTCCCTCCCCTTTCCTCTCTGCCCCTCCCCTCACTAATGCATGTGCAGATGCTCTCTAAAATAAGTAAATAAAAATAAAATCTTTAAAAAAGTACTAATTGCCTGGATGAAAGGTCAGGAACTAGTGCTGGGCAGTAAGGTTTTCATTGTTCTTAAAATGCCTTATAGCACTCCCCGATTTCAAAAATAATAACAGGAAGGTTAACTTAGGTCCACTTCATAGAAAAAGTAGGAGCCTGGAGTTGAAACTGGGTTTAAACCTGGGTGGCGCAGCGGTTTAGCGCCTGCCTTTGGCCCAGGGCACAATCCTGGAGACCCGGGATCGAATCCCACGTCGGGCTCCCAGTGCATGGAGCCTGCTTCTCCCTCTGCCTGTGTCTCTGCCTCTCTCAAAATGCTCGGCGTTCAGTTTGCTTCCCTATAAGGGGGATAACTCCATCTCCCTCACAGAATTGTTGTCAGATATACAGTTGAATTGAAAGGACACATTGCTATCCATAATCATAAACATAAATTAATTTTCTGTCAAAATATCTGCTGCTTAATTCATAGAAGAATAAATCTGTCAAACTCTTTCCTTACATCTAACCTAGATCTATTCTGCTTCAATTAAAGTCTATATTGTCTTGTTTAGTCATCCAAGGAATCAAAACTGACAAGTTTTCATTTTCTTTACGATAAGCCTTCATATATTTAGCAAAGTTAAATAAGCTTACGCCTCAGCCTTTAATCCTTCCTCGTTGCAAATGAGCATCTAGTTTTATATGAGGAAAAGGAGTCTGAAAAGACACAGGCTGGTTCTAGCCAGAGTATGCTATGAAATGCTCAAATAATTGGGAACTCTTCTGTTTCCTTTATAAAGCAGACTAATAAAACATTACCCTTAAACTAACCATTTACTCACTGCAATAATATATGCTGGGAGAACTGCCAAGCTATTTGGTACCTTGGGCAATGGGGCAGGCCCCAAGGCGAACATCATCATTCTGGCCTGCAGGGTATTCAGGAGGTGGGCAGAAAGCCAAGCAGTCCACTGTCCCAGAACATTCTCTTCTTCAGAAAAGACAAAGTTGTGCGGTCAAGACTTAGACCATCCCTTATCAGAAAAGCTCTAACAGTTTGTTTGAAATTTATATATGAATCTGTCCTCCCACTTTCAACTTATGATCAGAACTGCTCATGGTTGTGTTCTTTCCCAATCTCAAAACTTTTTAAGTTTGATATTATTTATCAATCTGATAAATAATAAGCTCCTAACACTTCTACACTAAGTATGAAAATCCTGATACATTTTCATACTGAAATATAAAAGGTTATTCAAGTAACATTTGTTAACACTGGACAAGTTCCTAAAAATAAACTCTAAAGATGCTTAATGCTAGAAAAACAATTACTTTAAAGTTCATCACTCTGAGTTTTCATCAGCTGATCTAAAGAAATCAGAGGGAGAAAAATACCACACCAACTCAGTATCATATTGCTGTGGTCTGAATACTTGTGTTCTCCCTACCCCAAATACATATGTTGAAATCCTAACCCCAAACAGGATGGTATTAGGAGGTGGGGGCCTCTGGGGAGTACTTTGGTCATGAGGATGTTTTCATGAACAGGAGTAACGCATTATAAAAGACCCCCACAATGCCTGCTTGCCCTTCCAAAGGCTACCAGGAAGAGGGCCTTCACCAGAAAGCAACCATGCTGGCACCTTGATCTTGGAAATTCCCAGGCCCAGAACTCTGAGAAATAAATTTCTGTTGTTATAAGCCACCTAGTCTGTGGTATTTTGTTATAGCAACCCAAAAGGACTAAGACACATACTCTATCATTCTAGTAATTTTTCTACCATATGAGGTATCACCCTGAAATTCAGACTCCCAATCATCAGGTACAAACCTAGAATCTCTTTTATGTAATGATAAAGAATGACCAAAAATTTTAACACCATAAAAACAGCAGGGAATTTTACTTTTGTTGAAGAATGGAAATTATCCAATTTTAAGCTGACAACAGGGCTTATTTTGAAGGTGATATTTTTATTTTTCTTAGACATTAATGAATGCAGCATAATGAACGGTTCAATAGTGGTTGTGAGACCTGTACAGACTCTGAAGGTGGCTATGAATGTAAAATGTAGCTGTTAGCCAGGATTCACACTTAGAGCCTGCCCAGACATCATGCACTGTCTGTGAAACCTCTCATTAATAGGTCCCTACATAGAGTAGTTTAGGGCCCAGGCTTTGGAGTCAGACAGTCTTGAGTTCAAATCTTTGTTTAAACATATTTTAGCTGTGTGTCCTTGATTAATCAAGATTCTTGACAAGAGATTCCTCATCTACAAAATGGACATTGCCTGGAGAGTACAGGTGCTTGTGTTCATGACATCTGAAGATACGAGATTTGAATAGGTAAGACAGACCTTTCCATTTTTTTTGATCATTCAAAGCACTTGTTTCCTTTCTTTTAGGGATCACTGTCTTTTATTGCCTTTATTGTCCTTTTGTTGTTTCCGGGGGCGGAAGGGAAATTCCATTCCTATTATTCCATCTTGGCCAGAAGTAAGAGTCTATGAGGTCTTAGTTAATGAAAAAGCTGATTATGAGGTTAAGTAACTGTCTTTCATTATATAAGGGATTAATTTTGGGAATAGGATTCTGATACCAGTTCAATTCTGATCACCAATTGGGTGTCTTACAATTCAACTCAATTCTGCTCTCTTTTTGTGCCCTAGCATAGCCATGGCTCGTGGTCCCAAGAAGCATCTGAAGCATGTGTAGCTCCAAAGCACTAGATGCTAGATAAACTGACCAGTGCGTTTGCTTCTCATCCATCTACTGGTCCCCACAACCTCAGAGAATGTCTCCCACTCATCATTTTCCTAAGGAACAGACTTAAGTATGCCCTAACAGGAGATTAAGTAAAGAATCTGTTTGCAGTGTTTTATTAAGATTGATGGCAAGGTCTGAACCGATATAACCTACCCTGCTGGTTTTATGGATGTCACCAGCATTGACAAGACATCCATCTGATGTATGACCCCAAGGGATGCTTTGCTATTCATCATATCACACCTGAGGAGGTCAAGTAGAAGTTGTGCAAACTGAGAAAGATCTCTGTTGGGACAAAAGGAATCCCTCAACTGGTGACGCATGATGCTCACACCATGTGAAATCTTGAGCTCATCAAGGTGAAGGACAACATTCAGACTGATTTGGAGACTGGAAAGATTACTGATTTCATCAAGTTTGACACTGGTAATCTGTGTATGGTGACTGGAGGTGCTAACCTGGGAAGAATTGGTGTGATTACCAACAGACAGACACCCTGGTTCTTTTGATGTAGTTCAAGCGAAAGATACCAATATGAGAGCTTTGCCACCCGGCTCCCCAACATTTTTGTTATTGGCAAAAGCAACAAACCATTTCCTTTCCCCATTGAAAAGGTATCTGCTTCACCACTGCTTGAGAGAGAGACTAGAGACTGGCAGCCAGAGCAGTGGGTAAAATGGTCTGCAGGTGATGTGACTGAAATTATGCTTAATTAAAGATAATACAGCATGATTTAAAAAGAAGAAAAATCTTGATAGCAACTACCAGTGATTAGTAACTCAGGAAGAGCCAGACAAAAGTGACACACAGGGGCAAGGTATGGGGAAGGGGCACAAAGCTTCTATGCCCTTTCCCAGCAGGTCACCCTCCCACAATCACTACACGGTCACCAACCCAGAAGCTCCAGTACAGTTCTTATTAAGAAGCAATTATAAAGAGACTATTCAGAATCCAGGACACAAAAATGAAACAAATGGCCTGGAGTTTTAAAATAAATAATTTGTTTGCTAGTTTATATAAATCTGCTCATGAAATCCAAAAACAAAATTGGGCTCCTACCAATAGCAATCAGCTGCTGTCTTTTGTTTGTAAGCAGGCAATCTGGCCTTGGGAACACTTGTCTCTTTTGGACAAATACTTCTATCTACTGAGACCTTTAAAAAAAAAAAATTATTGAGAGAAAGAGAAAGCACAGGCAGGGGAAGAAGAGGGCGAAGCAGACTTTCTACTAAGCCAGGAACCCAATGTGGGGCTTAATCCCAGGACCCTGGCATCATGACCTGAGCCTAAGGCAGACACTTAACCGAATGAATCACCCAGGTGCCCCTTAATGAGACCATTTAAAGTTACCATTTATTATGGCATTTTAGCAGAGGGTATAAAATGGAAAAGGACTTTTCTTATCTTCCAGCACTAATATACAGATACCATACTTCTTAAATTCAAATCTGGACTGACCTAACTGCTTGCCACTGTTAGATGATCCCAGGAGAATAGTCCCTTTCTTTCTGAAGATACTCTTTTCTTTGTTTCCAGAACAGTATCAGCTATACTTTTTACATGGCTAGTTTCCTTCCCAGAAAGAAACCTATCTAAAGGATAGAATAGAGGTGAAATCTGCCTCTTCCCAACTTTATGCTGTATCTCAGCATCCCGCTTGTGTCTCTCAAAGCACTGAGCAGAACATCATTTTCTTCTTTCTTTCTCTCCCTTCCAAACCAGATTATAAGTACCACGAGTGCGGAGACTAAGCCTGAATGTGTCCTGGTATATCACAGCACCTGGGACAGTAAGTGGCACTACAGTAAACATTCAAAACGCACTTGCTAACTGAATGCTACAGAATTAAAGGGGCCGCAAAACTGCCAAGATATGTTAAGCTTCATTCTGGAAAGGGCAGCAGACCTTGTAAGTATCTGAATTTATTTTGGAGTAATTTATCTGAATCTTACCAATTGGGTCATAATGTAAGAGAGTGAGTTTCTCCCGTAGTCGGCTTCTCTTAGTGTTGAAGGAGTAACCTGTTCCAGCTTGGCTCAGCATTTTCACCAGAATGGTTCTAAGATTTAAAAAGAAGCTATTACAAGCTGAGGAAATAGACTAAAGTCAGTCACAGGAGGATGGCGTATTGTGAGAACTCTGTACAGTAGTATTAGTTGTGGGAATATCACTTAGCCCTAAGAAGGTTCAGTTCTAAGACAGCCTACATTTTCCATAAACCACAGTTTCAATGGCTCAGATTTCCAAGGTTTGTTTCATTATAGAGTGCCTTGGTTATCAACTAACCAAGCAACAAAAATCAAACCACACTGTTGTTGTGGGAACTCAGACAACCACCTCTTGGAAGGAGAAGTCAGGAAGGGTGTGAATTTGCAAAAGTACTGGTAATGCTAGGTGACCAGTCACGAAATTGTGAAGATGGCCATCTCAAGAAAGAGCCCTCTCTTCCAAGATGTGCAATAGGAGTAGTCAGAAAGGGACAAAATAAAGGGATTGGAACTTTTACACTGCTAACATGCAAAACCTTGTTCCCCTTCATATTTTAAGTTATAGTCATCCAAAGAATAAAGTTCATGTTTTGCCTCACTAGACCTTTTAATACCTTGTACTGTTACTTTTTCATGTGTCTGGCTTCCCTGTGTAGACCATGCTATTTTATTTCTCATCTAACTCCAAAAAGAATTTGTAGCACCTACAATACATTACACATCTTTGCCTCCTTTTCGATGTCTAGCACAGTGCCTCACACTTAAGAGGCATACACTTGCTAATTAAGAAAGACAATATTTAGTCATTCATTCAAAAAGATTTAACAAATACTTATTAAGTGCTTACTCTGTGGAATGCACTACAGGAATTGCAAAGCTCTAAAAGGCTATAGCTGCCCCCTCCAGGAACCAACAGTACAGTAAGGAAGGTGAGTTGTGTAGACAAGGTCTATAAGGCAAGACATATTTGATAGATGTCACAAGAAGGATACAAAGAACATTAGAGGCAGGGAGTAACTCTAAAGAAACCAAAGGCATGGGAGGTTCCTAAAGAACCTGGAGGGGGGAACCCTAACATAAATAACTGGATTGTGGGAAAAGCAATATGAATAAAAGCTATCTTGGAGAAAACACTAACTTACATGTTTTTCATTAACTTTACTCCAAAATACCTAGTTTTATGATCTGTGATGTGTCTTGGGTTGTAAGCAAAGGCTGCATTAGAATTTTCCAATTTTTTTTTCCTGGAAAAGAATTTTCCTATTTTTAACACAGAAAATCTTACTTCAGTTATTGTCTACAAAATTTATTTTGAGATGCCACTTTGGTATTTATAGTCTCTCTGGTATAGTGTGGAATCTTTAATCTTTGCTATTTTTGAAATGCTTATTCCATGAATGCAAAGGATTACAAAACTCATTAAAACTGACTGTAGTTCAATCAAATCACAGCTTGTTCAGCCTGATTCCTGTAGTGGGTGGGCTCCAGACAAATAGCCCTGGGTCCTCCCTCTGAGGACACAGAAATATGGTGGTAGTCCAAAAAGAGAGCATGGGAACCCTGATGTTTTGTTTAGGAACAAGACAACAAGAGCTTCTTCAATTATTCAAACACTCACTTAAGTAGGTCGTTGGGCAGAAGGGAAAATATTTTTTGAAAGAATTCATAGAGCCAAAACAATTCCCCGAGTAAATAATCCTCAAACCAACTTTCAGAAAATCCAGACCAAATGCTTAGTTAAACCTAAGGAAGTACTGGCAGCGGCTGGAAAAACAAATTGAACATAAACAAGTAAAAATAAATAAATAAATAAAAAGAACGAAAGAAAAACCTTACTTACTTTGACTTGCTCTTGGCAACTTTTTTGCAGAGAGGAAAGGTTGAAAGAGAAAAAATATCAATTTATTAGCTTTTTTATGCAAAGTTCATATAAATGTCTGTGATACATATGTAAGTCACGAAGTAGGCCATGGCTTGCCATTCAACTACTCCCTAGCTTGTAGAGCTCCCGCTAGGATTCTAGAAGGAAGACAAAGATCCAAGAAGACCAACACAATTCTGGATATAATGCTTTGCACAATCCCTTTTCAGGTGGACCGGTTACTGCCCAAATCTCTCTAAGATCTGCTCCGTATGTTCCTCTCCTAAGGTGCAAAACATTTGCAATGGAACAAGCCACTGGTTTGACAAGTTAGCCGATGCAAATTGGAACCACCGTCATATTAGGTGGAGGAGGGAAACTACCGAGAGCCCAGCTGTTCTGACTTAGGGTAAATCACTGCCCGGTTCAGGCCATTTCCCCATCTTCAGAGTTCGAAGCAAGTGAACTAAAAATTCTGAGGTTTTTCCCCCAATTCGGACATGCAGGGATTGTACCAACACGTCCCTACGGAGGACGGGGGAAAGCGCCCCGCTCCTGCTGTTCAGACTCTACACTCCCCGCGTCGGACCCCAACCGGACCCAGAACCACCGCCGCAGAACCCCCCCACTCCGACCAAGTACCACCCGCCCCCAAGGGGAGGCGCGCCGCGGGGCATGCCGGACGTTGTAGTCCAGAAAGCCTGGAGAGTCGCAGCGCCAGCTTCCCGGCCGCCGCGCGCCCCCGGCCCCGCACCGTCGCGACGCCTGCCTCCCGCCCTCGCCGAAGGCCCAGCCGCCGCCTCCAGCCCCACTCACAGGTGACCGCGGACAGGAACATGGTGACAACACCCCCGCGGTCTCCGAAACGGGCCCAAAAATCGCTCAACAAACAAGTGCTTCCGGGGCACACACCTTGTCCCGGAAGAGGACGTCGGGAGCCGCCCGAGGCCACGCCCCCCGTATAAATTTTCAGGCCCTCCCCCACGGGTGACTTGAGTTCGTTGCAGGCCTGGCGTCTTACTTACTTCTGGGTCAGAGTTAGGTCCTTCCATACTTGTTTCATTAAATAATCGCCACCACCTGCTTTAAAGCCATAGGAACTGTTTCTCAGCTGCTCCAGGCTATCAGGCCCCCCTGTATTTCCTTAAAATGTTTCCTTCGGAGACGCCTGGGTGGCTCAGTGGTTGAGCATCTGCCTTTGGCTCAGGACATGATCCTGGGGTCCTGGGGTCGAGTCCCACATCAGGTTCCCCTCGAGCACCTGCTTCTCCTTCTGCCTGTGTCTCTGACTCCCTCTCTGTCTCTCATGTATAAAATAAAATAAAATCTAAAAAAAAAAAAAGTTTGCTTCGTTTGCCTCTCCCCAACCAACTTCATCTCCACCTGGTTAAGAGCTGCTCTCAGTCTCTTTAGAGTTAGAACTCCCACCTGAAGACCCCCCCATTCCTTAATCTGTTGGATTTCTAAGAGGGCACCACCTTGAGCAACTTCTGTTAACTGCTGTATCCGAGCACCTGCTACAGTACCTCCAAGAGGGGCTGGACAACAGGTTTGGGGTGCTCACGTAACTTGTTCAGTGTCACAAAACTAGTAAATGGCAGAGTCAGAATTCCAACACGGCTTGTATGGAGACTCATGCCTTTCCCACTAGACGTTGGGACCTACTACTAATTTGCATCTTCAGTTCTTCACGTCTCTCTGCAAGGAACCTGGGCTCTTTCAACACCAAGAGCATCTGTAACCTCATTTCCCAACTAATAATCAGGACTTCTGGATTTTTTTCCTAATCTGTGATTTTGTCTGTATATCAAATCTTACAAACGTGAAATAAAATTCAATCTCATGGATTCTCTTCACAAAAAGTAATAAAATTATTCGAAAGAAAATGTAGCTCTTCATGGGGCACCTGGGTGGCTCAGCTGGTTGAGCATCTACCTTCAGTTCAGGTCATGATCCCAGGGTCCCCGGATAGAGCCCTGCATGGAGCTCCCTGCTCAGCAGGGAGTTTGCTTCTCCCTCTCCCTATGCCCCTCCCCCCTGCTTATGCTCTCTCTCTCTCTCTCTCCCACTCTCCCACTCTCACCCCCTTACTCTCAAATAAATAAAATCTTGGGAAAAATTAAAAATAAAATTTAGTTCTTCAATTCCTTTTTTTTTTTTAATTAGGACTGTCCCTGGGGCACCTGGGTGGCTCAGTCAGTTAAGTGTCAAGTCATGATCCCAGAGTCCTAGGATAGAGGCCTGCATCAGGTTCCCTGCTCCTCAAGGAGTCTGCATCTCCCTCTCCCTCTTCCTCTACCCCTCCCTGCTGTTCATGTGTGCAGTCTTAATGTCTCAAATAAATAAATAAAATCTCTAAAAAATAAAAATAAAAATAAATTGCGGCTGTCCTTGCCTTTTAGTACCTTATAGGTTTTTATCACCGTCTAATGATTTTCAATCTTTTAATAACCTGACTCTAACAACTGAGTGCCTTCTAAGTGCCCAAATCCTTCCTTACCTTGTGCAGTTCATCTGCTGACAAAGAGTTTTAGGTGTTCAAGAAGGTCAGGTTTCTTATCTAGGAAATCCCTTTAGAGGATATATAAGAAAAGAACCCAGGACATGCATTTTAGCCTTTGTTCTGACCTTTGGAAAGTCAACTATTCACACCTCAGTTTCATGTTCAGTGGAGCATTGGATCAGTGGTTCTCATCCCTGATGTTATATCAGAGTCACCTGTTGTCTTTTTAAAAATCCATTTGCCACCAATGAGTTTCAGACCCTGTATTTTCCCCAAGTTTTCTATAAAGAAGCATTTCAAGCATATCAAAAAGTTGAAAGGATGGTGCAATGAAGACACCATATACCCAGTTCTACAAATGTTAACATTCTGCTATGTATACTGAATAAATAAGTATATTTTATATGTTTTTTTGCTAAGCTATATGAAAGTAAATTGCAGAAATCATAACCCTTCACCCCTACACATTTAAGTAGGTATCTGTCAAGACTAAGATTATAACTATACTACTTTCTCTCCTACAAAAATTAACAACAATTTCCTAATGTCTAGTCCATATTCAAATTGTCTTTTATAGCTGATTTCTTCCAAAACAGTATCTAATCAATGGACTAAGACAACATCTCTCTCTCTCTCTCTGTCATAATTTGACATCAAACTTTTGCCTCCCCTCCTTCCTCCTCTCTACAGAAGCCACTCTGATGAGGGCCCCAGTGATCCCTACAGTACCAAGTCCCATGGTCAATTCTCCAGCATTATGTTACTCAGCATCTATCAGTTTTATTTTACACGGTTCCTCCAATCCTCCTTGAAAAACTTGCTTCACCTGGTGTCCAGGTGTCCACTTTCTTGGTTCTCCTCCTTCCTCATCAGCAGTTCTTTCTCTGTTTTCACCTCACCCACCCCTCAATGGAGGCATGCCAGGAGCTCAGTCTTTGGATCTCATCTCTGTCCACTCATTCCCTTAGTGGTCACACCTGAGTTTGGGTTTTGAAAAGCTAGGGGCTGAAGTTTTCAAATTTATATCTCCAGTCTTAACCTTTCCTCTGGATTCCAGATTGCATATTTAACTGCCTACTGACATCTTATGTCCAAAATCAAATTCCCAAACTTGCTCTGTAACCCTAAGGCTTCCCCTGTATCAGTGTATGGCAATTTCATTTTTCCAGTTGTTCAAGTGAAAAGCCCAGGAGCCAACTTAATTCCTCTTTCTCTCATGCCTTATATGTAATCAATCAGTAAATTCTGTCAATCAAATACCCAATCAGTGAAGCCTTCCCTGGCCACAGAAGGAAAGCAATACACACACACACTCCCTATTCTCCTTACCTCACTTTATGTTTTCTTATAGCACTTCTCACCATTTACTATTTTGTACTTGTTGATTTCCTTATTATCTGTCTTGCTCACCACAATGTAGACTTCCTGAGATCAAGAACGAACTAAGTCTTATACACTTACTGCTGTATCCTGGAGCCTAACACAGTGCCTACCACATCTATTGACAATCTGATGAATGAACGAGTAAATGAGTCTGAGATGAGAGGTACCATACAAATTTTAATTAATAAATATGTTTAAATAGCAAACAATAATAAGGGTATACCAATAGTTTTAGCATTCAGGAGAATTTATAAGCTTGTGGGAGTTTGGGGGTTTTTCTTAGAGAGTGTGCACTGAGCCAGGAGGGGCAGAGGGTGAGAGAGAATCTTAAGCAGGCTCCATGCCCAGCATGAAGCCTGATGTGGGGCTCAATCTCACGATCCTAAACTCAGGGCCCTGAGATCACAACCTGAGCTGAAATCAAGAGTCGGACACTTGATTGACTAGGCCACCCACCCAAGCTTGCTCCTTCCTACAAGCTTGTTTTTAAAAAGAGATAGCAGTGGGGCACCTAGCTGGCTCAGTTGGAAGAGATTGCAGCTCTTGATCTCGGGATTGTGAGTTCAAGCCCCACATTGGCTGCAGAGATTACTTAAATAAATAAATAAAAATTTAAAAGAGAGATATTGGGGCACCTGGGTGGCTCAGGCAGTTGAGTGTCTGACTCTTGATCTCCGCTTAGATCTTGATCTCATGGTCGTAAGCTTGAGCCCCACATTGGGTTTTGCACTGACCATGGAACCCACTTAAAAAATTAAAAATATATATAAATAAATAAAAAGAGATAGCAAATGAACTATTTCTTGAAATTCCTGAATGGAGTAGAAAGGAAGCAGTGGCTTTCTAGTCTCATTACTTCAACCTGCATCCACCTGTTATCTACATGTAACACTCTGTTGGCAGTTGATAAGTATTAATTAAAATGTTTATTAATACAGATGCAATTCATGATTTGGGTTTGGGGGTGGGTTTTTGGGTGGGTGGGGTTTTTTTGCCTGAATCTACACAATGAGCCCTCTGTACCTTATTAAAGTGTAGAATAATTAGAGAATCCTGGCAGCCCAAGTGGAAGGGATGAAGGGCTTAGGGGAGGGGCACCCATCTCTTTGGAAGGGATGTGCCGAGTTGGGGAAAAGTACAGCTGTTTAGCCTGGATTCTCAGCCCAGGAAAGCAGATGGAGGAGAACATTTATTGAACATATACTTTTGCAGAGTTTTAGACAGTGCCTGTGTTACATTGCTGAACACTGCATTCCTAGCACTTAGCACTGGAATTCAAAACCAAGATCTAGAAGCTATTCCCCTCCTCCTCTACTGTTCCAAGAAATCCCATTGTCCAGCTCACTGTCATACCTATGTCCCACCTGACTTATGGTTGGGAAGTACAGTCACAATTCTTATCTACGGGGTCAGTGATTCTGGCTCCCTGACTTATTCCAGGGGCCTGGGAACATGGGCAGTGTAGGGAGGGAGACTCTGCAGGAGAAGGCTGGGGCTCCCTGCACAATGCTGGCACCTTCCCAAGTACAGACACCTCCAGGCAGATGAGACAGCTTCAGAATTAGGCCCTATCCCTCCACAGCTTGGTATTACAGCAAAGACTTCCTGAGGGAGTGAGACTAAAGGCTGGCAAGCCCTGGGGGCACCAGCTGGGTTCAAATCTGTGTTGTGGGTGTCCTCAGGTTGGCCCTCAATGCCTTCCATAATCTAGCCTTGACCTCCTAATTCAGTCCCATCTCTCTTCACTGGGGCCTGCTAAGTATTCGTCCCTTTCTGGATGAAGTCTCTCCTCACCCTCCACTCACCCTCCCACCCCTATTATACTTCCCTGTACTCCTCACTGGTTTGCTTCCCCGAACTGGCATTTAAGTCCCCTGAAGGCCAGAGCTTCTGAATCTCTGCACATCATCCCTCTAACCCTGCAGGCAAGAGCTCCTAAGGTGGCTGCCCTACTCACTTTGACAAATATGAACTGAGCACCTTATGTACTCAGGGAACATGCATCCGCCATTCCCTGTCTCTTCAATCTTCCTCCCCACCCAGGTCCACCCCAAGAATGGAAGGAACCTGGGAAAGAATAGAAGCAAAAGCACAATGTCTAAATGCTGGACAGTGAGCATCTTCCTGGAGCTTAGTGTTTAAAGAAGTGAGGGAGAGGAGCTAGAAAGGATGGCTGGACCTAGGTCACGAAGGAACTAGGATGTTGTGGTTGGGAGTCAGGGTCTGGTTCTGTGGCAGTGGGGGAGTTAAGTGATGCGATCAGACCCCTAGATTGGCAGCATCTGAAATCACATGGTTTTCCTGGCTAATTGGGAGAGAGGTAAGGACTCTCTCATCCCACCAACCAGAACACTCCCAATGTCCTTTTCATTTATGAAGCAACAATAGGGACTTTCTCTGCTCTGTATATTAATGCAGATTTATTTAAATTAACACAGGTATTTGGCGTCTCCTTGACAATTGGTAAGTTCTTCCTGCTTATTTATTATCTTAGACCGGTCACTGAGCCTTTTCTGAAGTGGGGAAAGGGAAGGAGGAAGGTGCCATAGACATCTTTGAGAATCTGCTAAAAAGTTTATTTTTATTTTTACTACTTTGTT